TCTTTTTTGTTCTCTCACTGTCCCTTCAGATCTCTTGATCCAGACGTACCCTAAATAAATCTCGAATTCAGATCTTCTCCTATACATTTTGTGCCACCACTTTTGCCATTAGTGGCAAACAACCTTACGCACCAAATGCAATACTATGAAATAATAGCATAAGGGTAAATGTTCCATAAGTAATGTAAAGTCGTCGAAGTAATGTAAAATTATTTTACACACAAAAGACGATAATTTATTACTTTTAAGTAAAAATCCTTTGTGGTGCATAGAACACTCTTAAAACAACTTAGGGGAAGGAAAAAAAAACACTCTTAAAACAATTAAATTGTGATTCGAGGTGTTACTTCAAACTCAAAATAGTATGGTCTAAATTATAAATAATGATGATAAAATAAGATTTCAACATTATTTTGGCTTGAATCACACCTTGATTGTGTTGAGTGCTGTATAGTAGTACCATTTCTATTAACCATGAATCCTAACTTTTATTGGGTAAATTGGAAAGAAAGAAAAAAAATTTAACCTAATCTATTAATAACATTTTAATTCTGATTTAAAGTACAAACGAACTAAACCGAATCGTTACTATATATATAAATATTATATGCATACACATTCCATATATATATATATATATAGTAGTATATATTAACTTTTGATTGTTATTTACACACAGGTATAAGAAAATTCAAAAGCGTAAAACCAAATTGAATCAGCTCGGTCTCACTTGTTTTACGTGTAACGACCATTGAAAAGCTAACTAAATAAATAAGTCAAACACAATCTTATGGGTCGGTCAATTTTTTTAGTTCCATAAAATAATTATTTTTTAAGTGTTATGTTCCTACTCCATGTGAAAATTATTTAAGTTCCATAAAATATTTATTCTTCTAAATCAACTTTTTACAATTGTACAACAAAACTACACTATAGGAAAATACTCCACTTAAAAAATAATAAAAACATGAATGGTGAAGAGAAGGAATTACACAACCTAATTACTCCCACATTAATACAGAAAACTTGCATTTGTAGAAGTAGGATCATTCACCTCCAATGTGGACAGAAGCATAATATATACGTGTATATATATACATATGATCTGAATCCTAGGCGTTAATATAGTCGAATCAAGGTTGGAGATTGGAACACAATATATGCGAACAATGGGGTTCAGGCGACACATTGCAAAGGTGTTCCGTACTATGATTATTATCACAATAATTAAACATTTTGTCTTCTCCCCATTTTTCACGATATTATGTTGAATTTTTTGGGTTATTCAAACATTAAATAAACTGTTTGACAAAAAGTCTAACTCGGCTGTGCAAGGATCCCGTGCTCTCGTGTAAACATGAGCTTGCGTTGTTGCTACATTACTAAATAATATAAGATTGTGGCATAAAATTTAAAAATGTGGAATTTTTTTATTATTATTTTATTTTTCATGTCAAAAATATTAAGGATTAGTGGGGGAAAGGGATGGTGCAAGTCTCAAATACATGCTCACAATCGGACAACACCGTTAAAATGTGAAATAACTTTAACTAATTTATGAGTGACATGACTCATTTCATCACGATAACATTAACATCCCTCTAATAATGTCAGGATATGTGAGGCGAACACATAATTCACTTGGATAAGTTAAATCAAGACTAGTAATTTAATGATTGAATATAAATTTAATATTTCAGTAGTCAAAATTGGGTTCATAATTCACCCTGTGATTTCATATCATAATCAAATCCTTTTTTTGTTATAATATTTTATTCTTGCTTACTGGTGGAAAGTTTTGTTAATAATAATTGAAGTTTTTTAGCCTATCAAGCACGACAATAATGTTGCATTTTTTCCAAAATCAAATTTTCAAACATAACATATGGAAAGACCATGCTAACATAACATATGAAAACACCAAACATTTTTTCAATTACTTGTAAGTTCTAATCAATTATGTAAAACACTCCCAAAAAAAAAAATTGTGCAATGACAGAATATAATAAAAGGAAAAAAATGTAACTCACCACCGACCCCGTCACTGAGCATGTGTGAGCTCCACCATTATTGTGGAGCCCACATATGACTTTGTGAGTAATGATATATTCAAATAAATCAAATAACCCCTCCTCAAATGAAGAAGATAAGCAAAGAAATAAACCAAGAAAAGGAAAGCAATATAATCAGTACTCGGTATCAGTGCCGGCTGCGAAAGTAATCAACAAGACTCGGTAGTCTCCGACACCCCGTCAAATACTACAATTTCGCCGGTCACGGCTCAAACTAAATTGCGCCGTGGGAGAAGGAGAACCCGTCATTTTCGCAGAAGCAGACTGCTGAGCATTGTTATACCGAACTTTCCAAAAATCTAACTTCCCAAACACGAGCATTTAATGGTTTTCTAAGTTTTTTTTTGGAATTTAAATATAATACTATACTTATACTATATATAATACTATACTATATATATTAATTTAACTTTTTAAATGAAAGAGAATTCTGGAATAGACAAAAATGAAAAACTAACAAGAAAATTAGAAAACAACTAAAGTTTTGTAGTCTAGTGATACTTCATCACTCCCCATAGCAAAAAAATGAGTTCGTATATTATTTGCCCCGATTTAAAAACACATAAACAAGAATAAAAAAAAATGAACATGGAACACAGCGGCTTGCAAACAATTCCTTCCCTGGAGGAGGGGGGTGTAAGTACAAACTAAAAAAAAAAAAACACACAGCAGTTTGAAGAGTATAAAGCAGTGAAGAACTTTTCAATTACTCCCATAGCCTATAGAATTGATACATGAATTACAATCCACAGGCTATTTATTAGCCTAATCTACATTTCACTTTTCAGTATAACTGAAGTAAAAATAAAAGAATAAATCGGATCTCAATTCGATTCATTCCCTTTAAAAGAAATCCTACCATTCATGTTGGTTACTTGGTAGGGTTGCTTAGTAAAGCAGAAACGAAAAGAAAAACTACTCCTGCTTGTTAGGGTAACAGGTAACAGGTAACAGTGAATGTTAAAAGATGGAGCAAAAGAAACACCCTCAATTCTCTATAAAAAGCCATGCTGTCAGCGTGCCCTCCACTGCAAACTTGCAATGTTCTAGAGCATGTTAGCCAGGATGCAAATCACATAAGAACATCTACGTGAAGAAACATTTCCTACAAGAAATGCTAGGAGTCAATAAATACAACTCGCGTCTAAAAACTTAGAAGTATGGTCTTTTAGATGAGGAGAGTCCAAAGGCATCCTCAAACTTTGTTAACAATACTGTGGTGGTGCACAGCATGAACCTGCTATTTTACTCTACATTTTTCATATTATCTACCCCACTTAGATCCACGGTCATTCACCAGCAAACTCAATCAACTTTGTAATGGATATCTTCTGAAAATAAAAATATAACATTTGTTTATATTTTCTACTTTTTTTCTCTTTTTATATTTTATTACATGATTTGTCAATAGATAAGAACTTAAGAACTTTTTAAATTAACCAAACAAAAATAAAATGAAATGAAATAAATAAACACATCTTAGTTATACACGACTTGCTTGCTCACGAGACTAAAAATGCTTTACATGAGCCATGTGTCCCACAAGCCTATGCGAGCTGTGTTTTCTGAGCCTAGTCTTTTAACAAAACAAATAGGCTCAATAAACGAATACTTACCAATTCCGCAGTTCACAAATAGCTCAATTCATTTAACTTGCGTACACCAAGATGAGAAATGCTACATGATGTACATGATTAGTTATGTTCAATACAATATTACATTTAGCCAACAAAATGAAATTCAATATAAGATGGTGACTTCCAAGTTCGAACCTATCATCTAAGGTAATTTCTTGGCCATATAACTCCCCCTTTAGCATGAAAGTAGAGAAACTAGATCATCATGAGAATCAACAAAGTTTATTGGCATATAACATAACAAAAGTCATTCATGCTCACTCAGTTCACCAAGATGAAAGGAAAAATGGACCAAACCCAACAGTTTCTTTAACACATACATTGGGACTCAAAAATAAACACGGTTGGAACCCAGTATGTGAAATTATTACTTAGATAATTTCCTAAGGAACTGGTTCCTAAAAGAATAGTAGGAGCTCGAGTCAGCTACACTCTTCCCATTAATCTATTAATATAAATAAAGGAAATTCCTTTTAGCATAGATGGGAAAAAAATTTAACGGTGTAGGATCAGAATTTCAGTAAAGGGGATCATGTAACATGAAAGACTTTTGTGCCATATATCAAAACAGATAGCGACACCGTTTAACATTTCTAAAGATCAAATGACTTCCAATCGGAATAGATATCCTCTACAACATTCTACCAAGGGAATCCATTTTTTGGGCATAATCTACAGTCTGACTCCTTAAACCCTTCTTATTTCTTCTCATAGATAAATGGATTGTAAGAAGGCATAGTATACACGGTCAACTGCTTAATCATGCACCACACTCACCACCCAAAAGATGCTACACGGGTTTATAACAGAATAAGTCAAGTAAGAAGGGAAAAGCAGGGAAGATTACCTCAAGTAATTAACATGTAATGCGGATGGTGCCCCTCCAGTCTTGAGAAAGTAGTTTCGAATTGTTAAACTCGTGAATTAAGAATCAAGGGATGAGATCTTACCTGCATTCAGAAGGAACAAGTATACAATTGAAGGGATGAGATCTAACCTGCATTCAGACAAGGAACAAGAATACAATTGAACACGGGTAATCTCACTGTTCGAGAAAAATGCACACTACAGTAAAATGTGAATAATATAGCAAATGATTCAAAAGCTCACCTAAATCTGAAAAGTTATATACATGCAACGGCTTCTTTATTCCGCAACCATGCTTCAATTGACAAGGCTCAATTTGGTAAAATCACTACACCAAGCAAGCAGAACTACTACATTTAGCTTAGAAATAATTGGTCCATAAAGCCGGGCTCAAAGCAGTTGGGAAACTATGGAAAACAGGAAGTGTCCAAAAATGGCCAGGAATATAAATTGGTTGCAAACTGCACCATAGCTTGTTACTACACAAAACTAACTAGGCTGCCTATAACCAAAAAAAAAAAGTTATCAGCCTTGACATCCAAAGCAAAAAAAAAAAAGGGAAGAGGACATTTAGCCCTCCAACAGAAGCTAAAGTTCCCTAAGTACACTACTTTGCAAATGTCAACACACAATGATCCACTCGCAAATTCAATAGTACAGTGATCACGTTGTGAAGAAGGTCCACAACTTCTTCCTTATTGATACTTCCCCAGGATGTTCCAACTCATCATTGCCATCATCATCACCGTTATCTGTATCATCATCATGGAATGTGCTCTCATTTTCATCTTCACCACCATATACTGGCGTACCATTTACCTCCTCACTCAACCCCATATTTTCATCTGACTTTGCTGCACCAGCACTGTCATCAACAATGTCTGCTGTTGTTTTGAACTGCATCATCAAACCAAAGATTTAATCAGAAAAGAGAAAGATTACTGCATACAACCAGTAGGGCGACGCCTGAGTAACTTACCCTGACAACCCTATCCGATGAGAACTCCCGGATTGTAACTGCTTTACTAGTTGTGACCTGCACCAATGGAGCAGTATTGTCATTCTCATTAACGACTCCCATTGATGGTGCAGAAGCAACTTCAGGTTTGTTTGGTGATACTTCCGCTGTAATACCACCACAACCATCATTAGCTTCTTTCCCCTTTTGCTTCTCAGTATCAGTAGGAGCTCTTGCAGCAGTGACCATGCCTGCACTGAAAGATGCTTAGATGTAAGACTTTAGACTGATTAAATGCTGCATGGCATTTCTAGTGAGTAAGGGTTTGACATGAACCATCTTATATAATCACATACAATTTTTTTTAAACAAGTACTGCTCACATATAAAATATTACAACAATAAAGATATTCTTAAGTCTTTAAATGACAAATTTAATATGAATTTATGTTATTCAACAAACTTATTATTACCCAACCTGATGATGTACAATTTTTTTTGTATACAAGTACTGATCACATAGGAAATATTACAGAATTGTAAATTTCTCTATCCATTTTAGGATAACATTAATATCTTTCTATGTTTCCAAAAAACTTCCACATATTCCAAATTATTTCACCTTTTCTTTGAAGTTGTAGCAAAATATTCAACGTTCTCCCAGAAAACTGCCTATAAAGAACTACTTTACTAAAATAGATATCTGTTAATAACAACAAATTATATCCCATAAAAAGAAAAGGAAAAGAATTTGAAACTAACTCTAATATAATTTGCAACATTAGGAATAAAATACTCTTACAATCACTTCTGCATACCATTATGGTGAAGAATAAAAAGATCAAAGAACTCCAAACTTAAACACTGTTCGATCAGTTAGGGAAGAGAATTACTTAATTTGAGTCTAGCACCCTTTAACAAACAAACAAACAAAAAAGGAGATTTCTTAATTTTTGAGGTGTGTTATTTTTCAAACCCAGATTTCCACTACTAAATTATAGTTTTTACATCACCGCAGTTGCTTGAGCATTCTATTCTAAATGTTAAAGACCAGCACAAAATGTTGATTTGCAGTCTTAGGGTTTCCTCGTTTCATTTTGTCACCAATTTGGGTTAAACTGTACCTAAAATCATCAATGGGGTGTCAAGTAGGCATTATTTAGCACAGCTAGTGGTCTCTTGGTAGGAACAACACCAGGGATTGAACCTTCCCTTCATCATTGTTGGTGTGCATGTGTGCAAGGGGGATCTGATAGCAAAGTTGAAATGGAGACGCAGATAGAGTTTCCTGTTAATTAGGAGGTTCAGAAGCAAGCAAGTGATTTTACTACCAACAAATCTCATCAGCTAGTTTCCAGGCATCTTCTTTTAAGTAGGCATATTTTCATAGACATACTAGAGTATGGATTGTCACTTCAATATTTGGAACCATAAATTAGACTAGTATGTTGATTTTGAAGTATTTTCCTTTTCCTAAACCAATGCCAAGAAACAAAAAAAAAAGACGTGTCCTTCAAATTTGAATTTTTATATAAGATCATAGTTCCAGGGAATTTCGATACAATCACTGCAATTTCATAATAATATGAGATGGAATTTGACTTTGTGTTTCCCCGGAAAATATTTCATCATTATTTGGGTTCACTGAAGCATAAATCAATCAAAAGGCTCTCTAAAAAAGGAGGTTGAGGGTTCTACGTTCAAACTCCAGCGGGGGCAGGGGGGTGTGAGTAAATTTGCCCAACAGAAATATATATATATATATATATATATATATATAGAGAGAGAGAGAGAGAGAGAGAATTATAAGAAATAATTTTCCATAAAAATATTACGTCCTCCCTCTAAAGAGGAGGTTGAGGGTTCAAACTCCGACGGGGGCATGGGTGTGAGTAAATTTGCCCAACGGAAAAATATATATATATATATATTTAAATTACGTCATAGGACCATAAAAATTGATGTTTCAGCAGCAACAAACAAGCCCTTTCAACATATTGATGAAAATTATTATTCATGCCTGCAAAAAAAAAAAAAAAAAAAAAAAAAAAAGGGGGAGAGAGAAGTCCATTCCAAGACGAAGACAGGCACCAAACCAGCATTGTCCCATGGATGAATTTTGATGCCATGTCAGAAGCGGAAGGGGGGTGAAGTTTCGTTTTGGAATTAAAAATAAAAATACAAAACACAACACAACACCGAAATGCTTTATTAGATTTTACCCTCAAACTTCTTCCATATATTTGACACATCTGATCATCAGTGCATCAGAAGCCCATAGAATGCCCACAAGCCATACTTTACAAACAGAAAAAAACTAGAAACTTACGTCCTGTGTCGCCTGAGATTGTATCGTGTTCCACCGGGAGTTTGTGCTGCGGGAGCGACTGTTTGCCGCCTCTTCCTTCGCCCAGCTGCTGTGACACTCTCTGAACGTCCTTCACTGTCATCAGCATCCTGCTCACTCTCTGTAATTCTAGATGACTGTGCCCGACGCCGCTTCCTTGCAATGGTGCTTACAGTTTCTTCAGCAAGATTGGAATCTCCGCGGCTTTCCTCATTGGTATAAACGGAATCTTGAGGCTTCTCCTCATTCAGTTTTAGTCCTTCTGAACTCTCCCCTAAAAAAGCCTTTGCATCTTCAACCACTGCTTTTACAGAGCGTGTTCTACTAATTCCAACTTTTGGCTTTTTCCTGGGTTTGCGCCGACCACTCAGCTCTGATTGCTGAGAATCTTCTTGAAGTTCTTGTGCCTCCATATTGCTATGAACATTAACAGAAGGAGCATGGCCACGTTCCACCTCTCCTATTGTGTTATTAGATGCAAGCAAGTGAACATCAAATGAGTCATTTCCAATCCCAAAGGATGATTCTGGTCCGTCTTCAGCAATACTTGGCATCTTTACTTCTTGTATATCAACTGGCACATTGGGTCCATCTTTTTCTTCAACATTGACGTGCACTTTAGGCAAAGGTGAATCCAGAGTTTGTGTATCAAGATGCTGAATCTTTGTACTTGGGGACAAGTTAAAAATCTTTGAGGTGCATTTGGAAAGCCAAGACAAGCGACCCCCAGAATCTGAAGATCTCAAATCAGTTCCACCAGGAGATCTCTTAATGTCTATGCCATCGGAAGTAACCACACCAGCCTGACGTTTCTCCAAAAGCTCCTCTTCCAGTCTTGGTAGCAATAGAGCCTCCCTATCCTCCATCTCAAGCAATTGAAGATCAGTGAACACAAATTCCCGCATAATGTCCCCACAGTTACTGCAACTCTTAAACCTCTCAACAAATTCAAGAAACCGGCCTCTCTCCTTTACAAATTGTTCCCGTTGATCCTTGAGCTTCTTGCTAAGAACACCAAGTTCATCAATGTCCTTGTGCATTTCAAGTTGGTCAACTTCAAGTTGCTTCTTTTTCAAGACAATTTCCTGTTTCTCCTTTTCTATTCTACGCCATTCGGACATATTATCTTCCATTTCCCTCCTGGCAAGATCATTTAAGTAGCTGATATTTCTGTGTTCTTTGTCTCTCTCCTCCTCAAATGCTCTCTTCCTTTCACCCATGTGCTTTTCCATTTCCTCTTGCCTTTTTTGCAGATTGGTCTCAAGATCCCTTCTCCTCAATTCAAAATCATGAAGTAGTTGGCTATGTTCATTTCGAGCTGTTTCAGATAAAACCGACTGCTCATGCCTCATTGTGGCTGCAAAAGATTCTTTTTCCACTCTGACAGCTTCCAACTCCCTTTGAATATAATCCTGCGTTTCACATTTTTCCTTCTTCAGCCTTTCTTCTTCAGAGCGTCTCAATTTTTCTAGCTTGTTTTTTTCTTCATCAATTTCTCTCAACTCTTTAGTTATACTAGCTCTTTTCTCATCCAATGCCTCCCACTTCTCCTCAAATTTCTTTCTGTCCTGCTTCAGATCCTCACCTTCCTTTAAAAGCAATTCCTTCTGAAGTCTGTACTTCTCTATCTCCTCTTTCAACTGTAACTGCAAACGGGAATATTCTGCCCTCTCTTCTTCAGTAATTCTAAGCTTTTTGCGCTCTTCACAAATCTGTGACTCCCGCAGACTGATGTCGGCCCTTACCTTTTCAAGCTCGTCTTGGAGAATATGTAGACTCTCTTCTTGAGAAAGCATTTGTTTCTTTTCCACACCCAACCTCTTCTCTTCAGCTTTGATAAACTTCTCCTTCTCCTTCAAAGTCTTCAACTTTGCGTCAAGTTCCTTCTCTTTCTCCTTTATTCTCTCTGACTTCTTTTCCAGTGCTTGCTCCCGTTTTCCCAGTTTTTCCCCCATGTGGTTAATTTCAACTTCCTTCTGCTCCACTGCGTCCACCTTGCTTTTCATTTCCTCATCTAACGAGTTCCTCCTTTCTTTCAATTCCAACTCGAAATCCTGCATTTTTGTTTCCAGGATAGCCGTGTGCTCGTCAAGAATCTTCTGAATCTCCACCTGTAACACGGTTTGTTTCAAATTCTAATACGGATTTATTTAGAAACTAAAACTTAATTACAAAACTGAAGTCCATTCAAATCACTTTCAAATGAAAAATGATATCAATACTGTCCTCTACACGCATTTCAGGCCTCTGACAGGAAATGAAATCCAAAGGAAACTAACAGACAAACCAAGAATGCCAGATTGAATTAAAATGGGAATGGTGAGAGAGCATTATGTATTGAATGTATATAACAACTTCTAAAAGACGAAAAATATATATATATAGAAAATGATAATGAAAAATGTATAGAACTATAAGATAAATAACAATTAAAAATCATTTCATAAAGAAAATGTCGATGACATTCACTAATGGCAAATGCCTTCAGGACTGTCACTAATGGCAAAAGCACCAGGTGACCTGAAATATTTCAACATCTATCTCCCCTTTCCCCGTGATGTCAAAGAATAGGATTGTTAAATTGTTGATTGGTACAACCATGTAAACAGAAACATGTCTGATTTCAAAGAAAACCAATATTAATAAAAATAAATAAAAGCATAATAATTTCAAAGAAAAAAAGGCGACATTGCTTGACACACTTATGTCACGCATTGAATCATTTAAGCAGCCACTTTGTGCAAATATTGAAAAAGACTAGGTCTGTATCCAGTTCACCCCTCCCAAAACTCTCACATTCCACTGGTAAACCAAAGAATAATTTATTTTCATATGCATAAAAATGTCATTACCCGCTCTAATATGCTATTGAATATGATATTTAATATTTACGAACCAAAAAAATTTCTCCACCACAATTCATGCCATCCAAGATGGTAATTCCAAGACACAAAATTCTACTTTTCAATAGTCTAAAGAAAACCATTACCAAATCCCATCAGTTCTGGTGGGGATGGAACAGGTGCAACAGGTAAAACCTTTGGGATTATTCAAATGAGTAACTGCATTCCAACTCCAACCTAAGTTCTCATGCTTCACAGTCCCTTGCTACACCATATGATATCCTACTAAAATTATATTTGTAAGAAATTTTTTTGTTGATTTTTTGCTTTTTCTTTTATCAAAACTAAAAAAAAAAATTACAATAATACAAGCAAAACCTCTCTCTCTCTCTCACACACACATACTGCTTTAATCTAACAACATTAGAGTGAGCCCACTTGACCAAACACATCATAAATTATTTAGAATGAATATTAACCATTTAACTCAAAATTCATACATTATGGAGGATTTTTTTTTTTTTTTTTTGATAAGTAAGAATTTTATGAAAAGCGCTCAAAAGGGGAGCGCATCCCGGAACAAAAACAGGCCAAAACAGCCATTACACTTTCAAAGAGGCCAAAAAAACAACAATTTCATCTAAAGATCTATAATCTCTACCTAAGACCCAACAAAAAAGAGTGGAAACAATAGAGAACTTAAGAAAAGAGATATGCCTCTCCTTCCCCTCAAAATATCTCATATTCCTCTCAAGCCAAACACACCACCACACACAAAGAGGAGTAGCCCTCCAAGCATCACGAACTTGGACCCCCACAAAACACCCTCTCCAAGCCTCAACCAGCTCTCTGGCGCAATGAGGCATGACCCACTGGACCCCACACAAGCCCAGCATCAAATCCCAACAATCCTTGGCCATGGAGCAATGCAAAAGAAGATGGTCCACTGTCTTCATACATTATGGAGAATAACTAAATGGTTGCGGTGTAGCATAAATAAGAGAAATAAAAACCAAAAAGATGGAAGAGAAAATAGAACAATCATAAGGAACCATGCAAATCTGTCAAGCAACTTATTGTACACCTACATTTTTTTATTTTTTTTTTTTGTCAAAGTCTTTTCCAAACTACTTGGGGTCGTCCATTATGCCCCATCTATGGTCATAGCATTAACCAAACCACATGTTATCATCTTTCCTTGTTAACTCTACCCATATTAATTTTGGTCTTCCCCTTTTCCTAACCATACTTCACCGTGAACCATGTCAATGTTCCCAACCAAATCATTATTACACTTGGTGATCTTCTTTGCGCATGTCTAAATCGTCTTAAATCAATTATGTTGGATTTTAACTTTCATATATGCATATAATCTCACAGATTTACACTGGCTTTTTTAGGATATATATGTTTCATATACTTAAATTAATATGTTGTTGAACATTAGAAGAACTCCCCTCTAGTTAACTCGAAAGTAATATTCAATTAGTCTCACTTATATATATATATATATATATATATATATATATATATATATATATTATTCCATTAGTCTCCTCGATAAGGGGATTTGAAGTTTAAAAAAAAAAGAATTCCTGAAAACACTAAACTGTGACAATATTATGAACAACACAAGTGCAATGCAAAAATCATGAAGAATACAGGTGTTAGAGGGTTCTTGTCCCACATTGGATCCCAATGGGGAAGGTCTTGGGCATATAAGGGCGGGTATGCGGCACTACCCAACAACTTTAAGTTCTTGGACAGCCGGCTCGATGCAGTAATATCACAGCATGCAGACCCAGTCCTTGATACATTGTCACAACAAGCTCCCACCCAGTGGCGTCCGGGTTTGGGTCGTTACTTGGTCCTCCAGCCATTAGGGGGACGGGTAGGCAGGAACAAGGGTGTTGCAAGTTCAGATGGGGGAGACTGTTAGAGGGTTGTTGTCCCACATTGGATACGGACGGGAAAGGTCTTGGGCGCATATAAGGGCGGGTATGCAGTACTACCTAACAACTTAAGCTTTTGGGTCAGATAGCAAACGCCTGGCACATTACAACAGGGCACTTGAATAACAGTACATCTAGGCCAATGGTATCGTGTTATGTATATATATTTTTTTGGATGGAAGAAGCAAACTATTTTCAGAAAGAGGCAGGATGACGGAAACAAAATTTTCAATTTTCAAATTCATGGTTAAAATTCAACTCTAAGTAGCAGGAAAAGATTAGAACCGAAACTCACTCTTTCTCTGGTACGAAGCTTTTCTGCCAGAGCAAGTAATTCCTTCTCTTTCATCTCTAGGTTGCTTCTAAGAAATTCAGTTTTCTGCAACACAATCAAACAACAGCAGAAATTTAATAATAATCTATTGAAATAACATATAAAGACAGCTTGGATGGTTAGAAAACTAACTTCCTCCTTTACAGCCAAGTCTGCTAGCCTGTAGTTTACATCTTCTTCTTTACTCTTCAAAGTTATAACCATGGACTCAACATTCTTTTCTGCTTGTTCAAGTTCCTTCTCTTTCTGTTTGACAATCTTGTCAAATCCATTTGCCTTCTGCTCTCTTTGATTAATAGTTCTCCGATCCTCACAAAGTATCTCTTCCTTTTCCTGTAGTTTCCTCTCCCACTCCCTTAAATCTTCTTTATGTTTTAAAAAAGTCGCCTCATGGGTATCTCGCCTGATGGAAACAGAAGACAAGTAAACACGTCAAGCACCATCTAGAGTTCATGACAAGTTCAAAAATGAAAGCAAATACAATCATGGACATCAAAATGATATGGTTGAGCAAATCTCATACTCTGCATTTAAGGAGAGACGCTCCCTCCGAAGCACACTTTCACGAGCCTCCACCTCTTGCAGTTTCCTCTCCAACTCAGAACTCTTTCTACTTGCCTCAGAAAGCTTGGCATCAGCTGCAAGCAACTTTCGTTCTACCTCCAAAGATCTATCCTTAATATCAGCAACCAAAGTGTTGGCATCAGCTAGTTTAGTCTCAGATGTAAGCTTGATTTGTGCATGCTCTGTACAAATTTCACGTAAAGCCTTCTCAAGCTGCAGGAACAAAGTATTGGCCAGAATATCAGTACACAAGCCTAAAACCAGGGGGAGAGGAACAGCCAACAAAGCAACTATCAGGAAGTGCATACATCAAATTAGGGCTGCAAATGAACCGAGCAGCTCATGAGCAGCTCGGGCTCGGGCTCGTTCATTAACAAACGAGCCGAGGTCGAGCTCAATTTCTATGCTCGTTTATGAGTCATTTATATGTTTTTTGATCCAGCCCAACAAATTTGATCCATTGAACAACATGAGCCCATTTGTAAAGCACATTCCTATTTTCTAAATGAAAGCCCAAGACAAGATGGCCCATATTTTATTTAAAGATCCAACAGACAGACCCGTTATGTTGACACAAAACAACAGACAAACTTCGTGGATGAAAGATTGTTCTGCCAGGAAGGCAAAAAATCGGATTTATAATTGTCAGCATCTCAGGATACAAGATTATGATACAAACATTCTAATACATTTTAGAGGTGAATCAAAAATGCATCCCTAAAGTATCCTATCCTGATTCAACTGTAGATGAATGTGATACATGACGCAGCACACATGATACACGATACATATAATGTGCACATTTGGATAATAAAAGTTTTTTAAGGAAAACATAATTTTACACATTCGTCAAAGAAAATAGAATATTGTTTTAAAAGGTGCATTCTGTACAATCGATATGCGCAGATACCAATTGCTTAGATTGATATAGGTGACATCAATGAGAATCTGATATGGTGTGAGCAGTGAAGTAGACCTAGAGGGAGGGTGAATAGGTCGTATGGATATTACTATGCAACTAAATAAAGATATCAGACCTTGAGAGAATAAAGAAAGGGGGTCAATCTCCAAAATGGTGGCTTAAAGGAGATTCCCACAATTATAAAGATGCTTTTGAAATTTTCTTTCCCTTGCTTAAGTTAAACTTACCAGTCATACAACTTACCAAAAAGACATTACTAGGCATAAAAACCTTAAGGGGAATTTTCTTTACAATGTAATTATACTTCAGGAATAAACCTCCATATGGGCCTAAATGTTAATGCAAAACAGAAAACAAATTCAAATAATTGAGTTTTTTCAAATTCGAACTGATTTGACCAGCCTTCTATCACTTAGATATCTCGGAGAATAAACCTCCATAAGGGCCTAAATGTTAATGCAAAACAGAAAACAAATTCAAATAATTGAGTTTTTTCAAATTCAAACTGAAGTGACCAGTCTTGTATCACTTAGAAATCTCAGAGAGAAAAGGACTGAGGACAGAACAATAAGCGATGTAACTTCAAATCTAATTTCATCATTCAGAGTTCATCATGAGAAATAGGTTATACAAAGCACAAAAACATATTTGAATACCAGAAGACCCAGAAAAGGTAAGATATGCAGATTCCAACAAAAATAAAAAATAAAAATAAGTAAATGAAGAAGTAAACAGCAGAGCTGCAGAAAAAACAAGCCTGAGAAATAGTCAAACAAATGCCATTAATTTCCATGATTTTACAAACAATGGCTAATATTATGAAAAAACACAAACTAGAAATAAGTATCTTACATCAACAACACACTGCCTTTCAACTCCTAAAGCATTCCTCAAATTCTCCTCTCGCTTCTCAACTTCCGATATTGCAATTAAATGGGCTGCTTGCTCACGTTTGAGGATCTCCTGTGCTTCTGCCAGTTCTTCTCTGAGTTCTTCATACTTTGAAGTCCATTCCACCCTTTCAAATAGTAAAAGCCCCATATTGTGCTGGTAATCAAGAAGCTATTAAAAAAAAAAAAAAAACAATAGACCAGATAATGAGATGACATTACTCAAACTTGAATTAAGGAAACTTCAACAATTATCTGATTGTTGAAAAAAAAAAAAGTCAACATCAATACACTCTTGCAAAATATAGCATTAAATGAAAACTACATGACAATATTCAGAAAAGAAATTATAGATCAATAACGGAAAATAATTTCTTCAATTATAGAAACAAGAAAACTATTCCAAAAAATGATTTGTACCCCAAACAAGAACCATATTTGTGAATAAATGCACAAAACTCCAAAAATCACCAAAAGCAGATCCAAATACACATTCTTTTACATGAACTTAGAACATCAAATCAAGGGAAGCTCATCTGGTAGTGCAAACAGTATGTGAGACAAGAAAGAAGAATGCCATTATTCAATACTCCACAAATGCTAGATGCAAAGAAGAATAAATGCATAAAGGCCATTACTCAATACTCCGCAAATGCTAGATGCAAAGAAGAATAAAATGGCCTAGCGGTATCAGCCTCTTACTTCCCAAAGGGAGGTCAAGGGTTCAAGTCTCAGAAGAGACAAATGTGTGTGAGTACCAACTAGGAAAAAAATAATAATAATAAAATGGTAAAAGCCTAACATTTTAAATTTTTGCACAATGCAACCACTGTGAGACTCTGCTTGTTAGTCCAAACTTATACCGTTGCATCAAGCAATGATTCCAAGACAACGACTCGTCTCTTTTTCTTTTCTTTTCTTTTTTTCTTTTTTTTTTAAGTGGCTACGACTCATCTCTTTTAAAAGAAATTTATTATATAAGGCTGATACATTTCCTGAATTAGTGTCGAAATTTTGAATTTATAATGACATCTCTCCAATATTTGTTTTTTTTTTTTTCACTTCCAAACATTAGAGATCATCTCAAATAACTTTTGTGTAAACATATTTAATATTGAAGTCGATTTTAAAGAGAAGTGGGCAACCTAACTCGAATTGAAGCTGAAAGGTAACTAAAGGTGTTACAGTCTCTCCATTGCCTAATACATTATTGACATTCCAGCTGCTAGGGTTTTGACGGAAGGGAAGAGGCAATGGGCGAATGCAATCTTAATGTGGGATGATTGGAAAGTAAGGGTGAGATGCTATAGAATTTTAAGGGAGAAGAAGGACCGAAGGAGACTAATATATGACCTTCCTACCCATTTGCGGTGTGATGCCTTCTTTGAAGTGATTAAGGACGTATGTGGGGGCTTCAAAGGGGTGGGAGACAGATGAAAGGGCTGGCGCTGCTAGAATCGCAATTTTTTTTCCTAATTGATGCTCGCACACGCCCCTGCACCCAAGAGGAGTCGAACCTAGACCTGACGCTTTCTGAGGTATCAGGGACAAGTGACTTACCCAATTAAGCCAACCCCTTGGGGTTTGCTAGAATCACAATTACAGAAAAGGGATGGTGGTGCAATCCCAGCGGCAGTGCTGGTCAATGATGAGAGGATTTGTTATAGGGTGTATTTATCAGAAGAGAAAATGTCAGGGCTAGTCCCCTAAACGGAGAGCCTCTGCGGCAAAGATGAGAGCGAGCTCATGATGGAAGATGAGTAGTGGAGATTGCACCACCGCAGTGGAAGGAAAGGAAATGAGGCAAAGCCTTTTCAAATTTCAGTGCAGACAAAGGGTAGACGATGGAGTGAGTTTCATGCGAAGGAGCGTGAGGGGAGGAGGGTAGGTGGGGAGACACGTAGCGACTATGTGAGGAGCTGGTAACGACTGGGGGTCCGCTCGCACGCATTTGGGATTTAGAAAGGCACGTGAAGGGCAGATGAGGTTTAGAAATAATTTGGGCCACAGTTGGGAACTTGGGAGATCAGAACAAAACAAAAGCTCTAACCCAATTCCTAATGCAACAGGAAATGGAAGAGACGAGTTTGGGCTAGCTCAGCCCCTTACTACTTCTCAACGGGCCAAGGAAGACTTGGGACAAGACATTAGGATACAAACAGGAGGCTTTAAATCAAGTTACTGGAGAAAGAAAGTAGAATGGGGTCTCGCACACAGCAGCCCAATTCGAAAAATCCCAAAAGACATGTTCCGATTATCAGAGATTCATATCTATATGATGATGTTGAATTTAGCGTAGATGTGTGCATATACATATGAATATATTTATGTACCATCACTAATAGGAAAAAAAAAATAAAAAATAAATAAATCTCAAAATATCCGATTAAAGCATAATATTTAAAATAGAAAACTGAAATCCCTGAATGACTACTTAGAGAACCCAGATGAGTCTTTCCCCCCAATTCAAAATTTCCGTACTTTTAACCAAGCAAAAGGCATTCCTACAATCTCTAATGACCTGCCATTAAAGGACAGATTTCAGCATGCAGTTCAATTTGCTTGAACAATTTTTAAAAAGTTTTGCTTCCATGCAACTATTTGCCGGAGAGGGGGCAGCGACAGTACATTTGGGTATATGTACGCTTAAATACAATATTGGTCAACAAGGGCATAGAAGACATCTATATTAGTTTAATGTTATTCTGTCCAAGGTTATTTTAATAAAATCGTATCAACAATTAACCTAGTTGATGGTCCATCAGTGTTACCAAGTTTTCTTTTTAGGGGAAGTCAGTGTAACTTTTCAAACCATAGGAGAGGTCCGTGTAATATTGTCTGCATCAATAGGCTGTGGGGGTGCCTTAAGTTAAATTCATGTCACTCAACATTTTCCTCTCAGGAGTCAGGACAAAAGCTCCTGTGAGCCCCAAGTTTAAACATTAGTAATAATAAAACCCAAAGAAAGATACAACAAGGAAGTTTCTTCACTTTACTTTTTTCATTTCACCAAAAAAACATAAATCACGTAGCCAGAAAACCAAGAAATATGTTCTATCCACTATTAGATCCCTTTTTTTTCCTTTTTCTGCAAGTATTAAATCCCATTTCTATTAAATCCTAAACAATGAATACCACTACAATAAAAAGATCAATGTTATCTAATACCAATACTATAAACAATATCCAACAATTAAATTACATCAAATAATTACAAAAAAATTAAAAATTAAAAATTAAAAATTCCTCTAACCTCTTTTTCGAGTTTTGAGGCCTTCTCCATAATCGCGTCTCGGTCCTTCCTCTCCATCGCCGACTCGTCCAACAACCCCGCTTCCCTAAACCTCCTCCAATCCTCCGTATCCCCCGTATCCACCACCACCGTTGTCCCGTTCTCACTCAACAAACCCAGCGGCGGCGGTGGCCCATCGAGAAACGCAACAGCTTTGCCCTTCCCGGTGTTCCTAGGGTTTGTGCCCGCCCCAACGCCGCGGCCGCTCTTCGGTGCTTCGCTCCTCGGCGTTATTGACAACGCGGGCCAAGCCTTCCTCTGCGGTGTGAACATCACCAAACCCTCAGAACAAGCCGAAACTTGCGAAATTCATAAACCAAACACTAGGGAGATTTTTTTGGAAACAACGTTCTTGAAACCCCAAAATCGACCGTTGAGGAAACAAGGTGGAGCCGAGGAATATCCAATGATCAACGGAATATTCGCTCCCGCGACCGGAATAAGCAAAATCTAAAACGCCGATAATTGGAATTCACACAACTGAAGTGCTTTATTGTGACGCAGTCTTTCTGGAAATTGGCTCTCGATGGTGGTTTACTTTCTAGTACCATATTAATCATTGGTGGACAAGCCTTCGGAGTGAGTTTACCATGTTACCCTCTGATGTGGCTTATTTGGGGAGTTCTCAAGGGTGTGAATGGAATTTGGAACTGGATATAATGATTTGAATATTTAATTGATGGATCAGTTGTAATGACGATATTGTCCCCCACCGCCACTGGAAAGATATTTGAGATTGTCACGCGAACTTTTTCCTTCAGAAAAATACTAGTTAGAGAGAGTATTATGTAGTATATATTTAAGTTAGAAATGCAAAAAATACCAAAGTGAAATTTATTTGAGAGTTTGTGAAAAAAAAAAAAAAAAATTTATTTGAGAGTTTGAGACTAAAATGTGTAAAATTTATCATTTTGAGTTTCGATTTTAATGTCTGATAAATATATATATATATAGGACATAGTCGCAAAATCAAGTATATGGTGTCAGCTAACACATGAGTCAACTTATTTAATATTTTTCTGACAATAAAGTAATTACCTTCCCTTCTTGAGATTATATAATTACTTTTAGCACACTAATAAATATATAAACTTATTTGTGATGATAGATATTTTTAACATAATTACTTTTAGCACGCTTATATAAACTCCATTTTTTTTGGTAAATATATAAACTTATTTGTTATGATAGATTTTTTTTTCCTTTTTTCTGGTGATGGTGTCGGATCCCTTAATTAAACAATCCCTGTTATGATCTTTATTTTAATATTTTCTTTTATTTAGATAGCCTTAACTAATACATTGATCACATATAACAATTCTACAACCTATGTCACTGTTAAGGTAAATAACAAAAAAAATAATAATCTCAAGTCAGTTTTAAAATTTTGAAACCAAACAAAAAATTGTAGAGAGCAAATTTGATTTGTGAAGAACTATGAAAAACAATTTTATAATAAAATATAGGAAAATTTTTATAAATGACAAGTTATTTTTAGTGTATTACAAAAATGATTGTATTCAAATACTATGTGAGTGAAAGGGATAATAAATAAAACTAATTATCAATATGGTAAATGTACTATTTTGGTCCAAAGTGTCCTTCCCCACTTTCTTTCTCTTTCACATTCTCTCTATATATTGCGGCCCCTTCCTCACTCTACCCACCTACCATCATCACCCGTACCCTCCACCACCACCACCTATATTTTAAAGACTTATCCGATTTAATTTAATTGTATTATTTATTTTATTTATGTTATTTGATTTAATTAGTTAATTTAAATTATTTTATTATTTGTTTGATTTAAATATTTTATTTAAGTTATTCCTATGTGTTTAATTGCTTAAAGTGTAATTAGTTAGTTTATTTAATTATTTATTTGATTTGATTTAAACTGCTTAATTATGATTACGATTGATTGTGAGTTTACTTAATTGCTTACTGTGAGTTAAATTGTTTAATTGCATATTAATTTAAGGCCAAATTTCTCAAAACCCCCACTACTTTCAAAAAATGATCATAAAACTTCAACCAGTTTTAAAAACCCCCAACAATATAACAACGTTATCATTTTACCCCAATTCTGTCAATTGGCCGTTAAGGATATGTGAAGTGACTAAATTACCCTTATGATATTCCACTTTATTTAAAAACCAAAAAATCATATTTTTCAAATTACAATATTATTCTCTTTAAGTTTTGGTGTTCAACTGTTCACAACTTGTCTCTTTCTAGTACCTCTCGCCAGAAAATGCTACAGAACCGTCACAAATCTGCCATTTTGGATAACCTCAGTAATGAAATTCCATTAAACTCGAAAACCATCTTCAAACCCCAGCTAGACCTAAACTAAACCCTAATTTTTCTTCTTCCACCCTCTTTTTCACATACATATCCCTAACTAGACCTAAACTAAACCCTAATTAATATATATATATATATATATATATATATATACACGTTCCCCAACCAAACTTTGTTTCACTCACTTACCAGAACCATCTCTTGCTGGGCTAAAACACAAAGGCAGGAACTCATTCGTATCACACTGAAACGTAGACTTCTCAAAGTGATCCACCAGTGCCTCCTTAGCTGCAGCTACAGTGTAACACTTCTGAATTTCGTCATTTTCCATTTTTCTGAAATTTTTTGTCGTTGCAAGGGCATTTTCGTCTTTTGTTATTTTGTGTACCAGACACTGTGGGGTGTGCTGATTGCGTCCGAGAATTGGTTGGAACATTTCATTGAGTTCGGGACCCTTTGAAATGAAAGGTTTGTCATCTTCATTTTTTTTTTCGTTTTTCGGGCCGGACGGTCCCGTGTGGGACCCGCTACCGGATTTGTTGTGCATGGGGTTTGTGTCTGGATTCATTTTATTCCATGCATATTTAATTGTGCATAATTTTGTGGTAATATGTTACTGGTGGTTGATAATTTAATTAAATTATGTATGTAAATAGAAAAGAAAAATGGATTTTTATTTTGGTGGGGGCCACCCTTGTTTCCTCTTTAATGGCCAATAGGCCATCAAATGGCCATACACTTTCTTTCTCTCCCGTCCACAAACTCTCTCTTTCTACAAGTGATTTTTTTTTTTTTTCTAGAAACCAATAAACATAAATCTTGATTTCTCTCTCATTTTTAAGAGATTTTTGATGTCGTTTGCGGCAAATTAAAGAGCAAACCGAGATCTACGTTTTGACCGGAGCCAATCTTCATTTGGCCACCATTGTGGGGATCACATATTCTAGGGTTTGAGGTGAATTTGGGGCTTTTCATTAAATTGAGGTAGGGGTTCCTAATTCATGACTTCTTAGACTTTAATGAGTCATTCTTCCATTGATTTGTGGTACATATTAAAATTGTGTTAATTTTCTCTAAGTTGGCTTAATTGTTGTATATGAACCACATGCTTATGTGTATTAGTTGAATTGTTTGATAAAACATGCCTATGAGATTAATTCTATGCTTAATTAGGTATAAATTATTGAAAGCTTGAAATATGGAAGCATGTTGATTTGTAGATATGAAATCATTTGCTGACATGATATTGGAAAGCATGAGACATCCATGCATATCATAGGGCATGAAAGGGGGAAGATTTTTATTTAAATGAAAAGTACATAGTTTTTGGGGAAAAGGTTTGGGGAAAGGTTTGCGAAAACCCAGATGCTTAGGAGGCGCTGTGGTCCGTGGTGTTAATATAATCTAGAGGGAAGTTAAGTAATCTAGGCCCAAACGACGCCATGGAGGTGACATGTGGTCGGGGATTGATAGCCACTCTTTCCTCGTGATGCCATAGAGGTGCTATGGGTCAGGTTACATCAACGGTTTTGGAACGATGAAATGGATTGGTTTTGAAAATTTGGGGAGAAACACTTCATGACATTACATCTCATTGCACGGCATAATTTGATTATGACTTGGAATGTTGATTTTGTGCTTCGTTTACCCGGAATGATATGACCCCGCTCCTATATTTCTATTCATTATTGGGATCACTGGGTTTCAAGAGGTGTGTCATAGATACCTCCTGTTGAACTTAGGCTCACCACGTTGTTACTTAACATTTTCAAGACTCGAGAAAGAAGTGGTGGAAGATCATCCACCATAAACTTAATTCAAAGATTTGGGGATCTTTTTGCTATCTTTTGTGCACTTGTACCTATTCTTTTGTAGAGCCTCATTTTGAGAATGTATTCATTTTGTAAAGCATGGCCATGTATTGTAAATGTAATATTTAATGATGGTTTGATGTAAATTTGGAACCGTATTGGCATATCATAATGAATGGGAAGTGATAACATATGTTGTGCATGATATTGATGTCTTTAGCTGTATAATATTATGTTACGTTGCTGTGAATTCGAGATTGAATGAGTATCAGGGTTGGCTCACAAAGAGGTTGGGATTTCTGGACTTTCAGGCTGCACTTAACAGCATCCCAGGGCTCATCAACTCCAGAGAGTTGAAACTTGAAAAAAACTTGTTTCGGCCGACTGAACTTCTTCATCAGCCGACCGAACCTCAATCAGTCGGTCGATAAGCCACTGTAGCAAAGTCCCGAGAGCTTGCAACTTTGAGAATCGTTTCAGCCGATCGACCATGCAGTTTCAGCCGGCCGACCAAGGGCCATCAGCCAGCTCACCTTCCCTCTTTGACCAGTGTTTTGATCCTCTCCTTTTGGGCTGTGATTTTGAAGTGTTTTAAGACATGTAGTGAATTGAATATTACCCATGAGTACGGGAAATGACCATTGTACCCTCATTGATCTCGGATTAAGGTAAGGTCCTGATTAACTGTTCAGACCCACGGGTTTAGATCGTTACATGCAGCTCAAGACCAGCCGCCAGTAGATCTCCCAAAGCAGGAGACGGCGATTAGGTGGCAGAGATAGCGGCGAGTGGAGAGGGAATGAAAAGGAGGAGAGGGTAAGAGTGAATAGGGTTTTGCAATCAATAAATTTCAATTGGGTTACAACATGTGTGATTGAGTCTCTGTAAATTGAATAGATTCATCAAGTGTGATTGGGGATGGAGGAGTTGGCAAGACAGATTCATCACCAATTTGAAAATATGATTGGAATTAGCCCATTGGAAAGCCTCATGTCTTTCCTCGTTTTTCACAATCATCACAATGATCACAAAACGTTTCCAATTCTCAGAGGATGAAGAACAATTATCAAATTGTATGATTTTTTTTTTTTTTTTTGGGTATTTCCTTACCCAGATCGATTCCAACAAATTTTTTTAGAAACTGGGTGAAGAAGATGAACAGTGACATATATATATATATATATATATATATGTATGTCCATGTGTGATTTTAATCTTATAAACTATACTATTAAAGTGTTTGAGCCTGTCCAGAAGGGTGAGCTTGGGGGTATTTTCGGAATAACATATATAAATATATATCACTTGTTTGGCACATGTTACTCCAAAGGTATTTTTGTCACAAAATTCACTCTGACAAAGCAATTGTTAACCACGCACTGGGTTAACGGCTCCAT